CAACGATGTACTTGTTGTTTTGTTTTATTCTTTACTTCAATGTTAATCAATATAATGTATTATGATTTATCGAATGAAGCGAACACATCAAGTGAAACACATAGTGGTGCTTTATCAATTGGTCCTTTTTATATAGCACCACAACAGGTACGTATATTGATTTTTATAGCGAAAAATATAGACTACACTCACAGCTCTGTGTCTCTAAAATTTTCAATTTCTGATTAATGAAAATATCTTTTTATATTTAAGATTGGAATTGGTATAATGGTCGAATTATTTACATTAATTCCAAGTCTCTTAATTGTTCAATTCTTTCGACGTATTCGACCTCGTCAACAAATTGCACCAATACGTGAAGCATTATATAAGATGAAACCATCTCGAAAAACGTTCGTATATATATTTCTAAATACATTCATCGACACTCACATTCTTAATTCTAGTAGTTCGACAAATGCCCCTGCAATCAAGAAAAAAAAATCTTCAATAACATTTCCTTGGTGGTGTTTATTTATTGCTTATAGTCTTTCATTGATAATTATTGGTGTTTCAATATTTTTTATTATTATTCGAGGAATTGAATTTGGTGATGTCAAAACTCAACAATGGTTAACATCTGTTCTTACTGGATTTTTCTCATCGGTTATTTTTACTCAACCTATTAAAGTATACTTTCTATCTTCTTTTAATCTCTATTTTTGAAATATTTTCTCATTAAAGATTATATGTTTGGCTATATTCTTTATATGCTTTTGTCGAAATTCAAAAGATGATCAAGAAACAAGTGAATATATAAATGAAGATGATGAATTTAATATATCTAATGATGAGGAGTATCTTCATTCGCTTGAGGTTTGTTTTCTTTTAGAATACTATATAAAAATAACTTTTCCATTTATAGTATCGCTCATTATTTTCTTCTGAATCTCGAAAAAGTATTAATCGTCTTAATGAAAATGAAGTTGCTTATGCTCGTGATCAACGTTTAAAAGAAATTCAAATGTGGACAATTATTCGAGAATATCTTATTTATTTCATATTCGCAATATTAGTTTTTGTAATAACGTATTCAAATCGTGAACAACATAGTTTTTACCAAGTCAATCATTTACGAGCTTATTTTCTTAATCAAAGACAAACGACTGCTGATTATACTAATGTTTGTTCTTCTTTTCTTGTATTGAAATGAATGTTGTTTTTTCTAGATCAATACAATCGATGAATACTGGTATTGGTTAGAAAATAGTTTTGTTTCAAATATTCGTGCCCAACAATGGTATAATGGAGAGATTCCGCAATATTTAAATGGATTTTTAAATGATAAATCTAGTCGATTAATTGGATGGGCAACAATAAGACAATTACGTATTAAATCAGAATTATGTTCCGATCAACGTGTTATTTCAATATGTGAAGATAGTTATGATATTTTTAATGAAGAAACACAATTATTTCAACCAGGATGGACAAATGAAATAGTAGAAGATGGAGTATATAGTTCATCGATTATAAAAGCATTTAACTATTTTACAAGTGATGAATTAGGTACATATACATATGTAGGTGAATTTGGAACATATAGTGGAGGTGGTTATGTCTATGAATTTCGTGGTCGCTTATCTGATATGAAAACAAATTTGTCTGAACTTCATCAATTAGATTGGATTGATGAGAAAACAAGAGCTGTTTTTATTCAACTAACATTATATAATCCAAGTGTTCAATTATTAACTGCAGTTACTTTACTTGCTGAATTTTTACCAACAGGTGGTGTTTACACAACAGCTCGTTTCGAACCAATTAATTTATACAGTAAGTCACACTTTATTTTTTATTTCTAAAGATAAATAAATTTTTGTTTTTTAAATTTAGCATTTACATCAATATTACAATTAGTTTGTACAATTTTCTATATATTTTTTATTATTTATTTTATGATCATTGAAATTCGATCAATACTTGAATTAAGATTAAAATATTTTCATCGATTTTGGTCAATAATACAATTAGGCATCATTGGTTGTTCATTGGGAAGTATTGGAGTTTATTTTTGGCGTTTTCAAGAAGCTAATCGTATAAGTCAATTATTTGAACAAACCAATGGTTATGTTTATATCAATTTACAACTTGCAGTTTATGTTAATGATATTTTAACATTTCTTCTTGGTTATTGTTGTTTTTTTAGTATGATTAAATTTGTTCAATTATTTCGTTTCAATCAACGAATATCTTTATTTGCTGAAACATTAAAATATTGTGCAAAGGCACTGATTTCATTTTCAATAATGTTTGCAATTGTATTCATGTCATTTCTTAGTTTATTTTATTTATTATTTGTATCAAAGCTTTCGTCCTGTTCAAGTTTATTAGCAACTGCTCAAATGCTTTTTGAAATGACATTAATGAAATTTGACGCATCACAAATATATGGAGCTGATGCTTTTCTTGGTCCATTCTGTTTTATTTTATTTATGCTTCTAGTTGTTTTTGTTTGTTTAAGTATGTTTTTTTCAATAATTATTGATAGTTTTCATCATGCGAAAGACAATCAAAAAGAAGATCAAATTATGTTATCATTTATGCTAAAGAAATTTTTACGATGGACAGGTATGTGAATACAATAGAATCTTAAGATTTCAATCGAGACATCTTCATATTAGATGACTTCAGAGCTTCACTTGACTGTTTGGGTAGATGTACAGAGTATGATTGAAGAAAAGACTTTGACAACCACTCTCAAGATTGATGTATCTCAGTAGGACATAATTGTCTATTAATGTTTTAGGTTTAAAAAGATTAAATCAAGAAGAAATTCAAGAAGAAAGAGATTGTCGAATGCGTTCACAATATGTTGATCCAATTGAAAATTTTCCTGATAAAATCGATCAATTATTAGAAGCAATCGATCGAGTATATTCCAATATAATAATTTATTTTTATTTAAAAATTATTTATTTCTTTATGATTTTAGATTTATATCGATCAAAAAAAAGAATTATTAAAATTAACAAGAGCTGGTGTTTAATTATACTAATCTTCAGTTATTATATATCGAACTCGAATTAGATTGATATTTATTATTGTATTGCTTTTGCTTAACTTGATTTAATCAACATATTATTTTTTTTCGAATAAAATCATTGCTTTATTTGTTGTATAATTAAAGTTGAACTTGTGTTTATTGACAAAAGATTACAATGTATAGATAGATATTGTTTGATACTGGAACATGAAGCTATAATAGATATTCCATAGAACACAAAAAAAGGATGAATTTTTGTTACAGAATGCAGTGGAACTACCGAGAATAGGTAACAAATCGATGTATTATATTATTTACTTCACGGTCAGTGGATTCACCACTACTTGGAGCAATCTGTGAACTACGACTGTATTTAAAGAGACACTATTCTTTTTATTTTCGATTAATAATTCGTATTGACTTCCATAAAACAACATAACATATAATCATTGAATGATTACTCTTACGAGGGAAGGTCCCCAAGTGTGAATCGCCGTTTTGAATCAGAGGTATACCAATTGATAGAGTTCAATAAGACTATCAAAAGTCTAGAAGAGTTCATGCCCGTACTCGGCGCTTCTTGAGTTTTGGCCGTTTTACTGGATTTTTGAGCTCTGACGATGCATACATGAAACAACCAAAACTAAGAAATTTCGAGCTGGAATTTTGACGACAGATAGCTCTCATAGCCACTAGAATATCCTAAAAATTTCAGTCCGAAATAATGTTTCCTGCTTGAGATACTGGGCATTGAAGTCACCCGATTTTCTGATCTTTGCTTGTGGCACATGATCGTTTTTTAGATATTCAATATCTCAAGAAGGAAACATTATTTCCGACTGAAATTTTTAGGATATTCTAGTGGCTATGAGAGCTATCTGTCGTCAAAATTTCAGCTCGAAATTTCTTAGTTTTGGTTGCTTCATATATGCATCGTCAGAGCTCAAAAATCCAGTAAAACGGCCAAAACTCAAGAAGCGCCGAGTACGGGCATGAACCCTTCTAGACTTTTGATAGTCTTATTGAACTCTATCAATTGGTATACCTCTGATTCAAAACGGCGATTCACACTTGGGGACCTTCCCTCGTAAGTAAAATATTAGCAAATCAAATTTTAATCGCTTTGCAGTTAAAAAAAACTTAAGAATCATCAAAATAAAACTATTTAAGAATATATTCACGAATATACTCGCAAGACATTGACCTCTATCGTAATCCATATACAGGACGTGTTAATGTCGGACGTGAAGTTGATTTTATTCCAATAGGTAATCATTATTTTCAACCTATAACTAATATTTCTGCTGCTATTCATCAAGATTATATTAGTTAATGAGTTGAATATTTGAAATGAAGACTGTAAATTCTTTTTTTTGTGTTTTGTTTCGTTTTATAAAATAAAATGGACATATGAAAATAGATTCATTTTTTATTTTGATAGAAGTAAAGATGACTATTACAATTGCCTTCATTCTTGTCCTCAATTCTATTCAATCGTTGTGTACTAGTTGTTACTTGAAGAGACTAAAAAAGAAGTAATTAGAAAAAAAAAAGTTATAAAATAAGTAAAACATGGATTTTTAAACTGTTGTAATAACAGTGTCTTATTTTTACTTTCTTATGTTTCATGATCATGTTCGAATTAATATTATTGTATTCTGTTAATATTTGCATCACACTATGGTAAAATTTCTAGAAAATTTTTTCCTTTGAAATGATGTAGCACAAAAATAACGACTCTTATAATCAGCTAGTTAAATAAAAAAATATTTTGTAACTAAGAGTAAGACATTCTTTGTATCTCGTTGATATCAGCAGAGAACAATTATTCATATTAAAAATATCTTTTCTTTTTTTTTTGTTTCTTTAGTTTTAAACAATATTTTTCTTTTCACAAACAGGTTTCATCAAATTAAATACACAACATATTTCTTACTTTACTCTGAATAGCAAAAAAATCTTTTGGTAAGTACTGACTCTTGCATATCTTAGAAAAAAATATTCATATTGAAGAACAGCAGAAAAATTTTTGGCAAAAAAATAAATAATCAGATATTCAATCAGTTTGTTTATGAAGAACTATAATATTAGAAGATAGATGATTGTAGGAAACTACCAAAGCAGACAAAAAATTGGAAAAATGCGTTTAAACGCTCAATCGGGAACCGCGATTGTAGCTCATTCACGCTTAATAATAAAACGCCATAAACGGCATTTTGGACATAAAATCACCACTTTTATAACGTTAAAACTCCTATCTTTAACGCTTAAACGCATGGATTTTAAACTCTAGAATAAACGCGCGTTTTAACGTCAAAAATGAGTTTTTCACCGTTTTAAAGGTGGTGATTTTATGTTCAAAACGCCGTTTATGGTGCTTTATTATTAAACGTAAATGGGCTACAATCGCGGTTCCCGATTGAGCGTTTAAACGCGTTTTTCCAATTTTTTGTCTGCTTGAGTATATAGAGAAAATAGAACATTATTGTAATAAACTTTCATATATGTTGGCTGAATCATACTTCTCTGTGCAATTTCTATGGAGACAGATGAATATTTTTTTCCTCATATTCTTTTTATTATTTGAAAGAAAAATATAATTACACAAATGAGATTTATTTTTGCAGCTAAAATATATGTTTGTGATATTTCAACATCATTACCAATATCACTTTCACGGGATAGATCGATGTTTGAAATTGTTATAACCATGATTTTTTAATCGAAAGTCTTGTCTAAGATCACTATCGTTAAATATCTTTTGATTTTAAATAAAAATAATCTAAATATTGTAACTATCCTTGTTTTTTCTTTTTCTATTTTTTTCTTTTCCAAGTCGACAAACCGAGAACGATGAGAGAAGAAAATAGAATCATCATTAACATGATGCTGTAAAGTCGAACAAAAGAATATATTTTTTTTTAAGAATACAAGAAAACTATAGTTTCATCACTGTACGTATTATTTCTTAAGTTTTACAATTAGCTAAATAGAAAGAAAAATATTAATTCGAATTTTTTTTCTCAAATTATCCTAGAAAACACGTATTATACTTGATATTATAAGTAAAAAAATTCGAAAGCGATTATTCTCTCTTACATGAATAGAATTATATTCATAAGAGATACCATATTCTATTTAAAAAATGTAAGAAAAATAGTTTTCTAATTGTACAAAATTGTTTTAGAATATGAAAGTTATTTATAGAAAATGCACAAAGAAAAAATTTTCCTTATTACGATATTAAAAAAAAAAAGTAAAACGTTATGACGTTTACTCTAAAATCATTTCTTCATGTTTGTTAAACGCACTTTCAATATCCTTTTTCTTCATTTGGTGATTAAGAGAAAAAAAATACAAAAAATTACATTTTCAATTAAACAACTAGTTTGAATATATTCTCAATTAAGAAATTGCAGCGATGCAGATTCTACAAAAGTAAAGTGTAATTATTTCAATTGGAGAAAAATGTATATTAGAATATATTGAAACGATGGATTTTCTTGTATTGATATATACTAGTTAAATACAAATATTTGTTCATATTCACTTTCTCATAGAGAAGAGTGCAGCAAAAATAAAGTGTCTACTTGCGGATTCACTTTTCACTGGTTGTTCGAAGAATGTCGATCATACATCTGTACTCTACTGAATTATGTAATGACTAATTCTATGGTAAGTGTTAATTAATTTAATAATTTTTGTTTTTCTTTCTAGATTATTTACATCGATTAAACGAACAGCAAGTATTAATTAAAATAAATGTACTCTTCAGACTGATCGGAGGATCAAATTCTATTTTTTTCTTATTCAGTGTCTCTGTTATATAAAAGAATAATTTCTATACGAATTGTATAGCTCCTAAAAATATTATATCTTCTTGATGTATCATAGAAGTTGCATTAAAATAAAAAGAATTCGGATCTTCAGTCTGACTAGTCATTACAAATATTAGTTTTTATATTCTTTGAAGAGTGATAAGAAGCGAGGAGGTATACGAGGTTTATGGAAATACGATGACAAGTTTCAATCCTTTGAAATATACAGACCATTTTCTATCTGTATTATCTAGCGTATAAATGCAATCCTTAAATTTTTGTTCCACTAACTGATCGTGTGATCATTTTTAGGTATACGAAACTACTAACGAGGGAACATCCCCAACTGTCGGATCACTTTAGAGTTCGGGTTCCGTGCATAAAGTAGATTCCAGTGAGGTATGGAAAACCCCAAAAGGATTAGGGCCCATAGGTCTTCTCTCCAGCGTTGTAGGCAATATACTGAAACTTTAGTCTATGGTATCGTATATATAAATAAATCAAATGACGGTATTTCGAACTGAGATTTTGTCCATATACAGGTCTATTGGTGACTAGAATGACCTGAAACTTTCAGCTTAAAAGAATGTTTCGTTCTCAAGATATCAAAGTATCAAACAATTACCAATTTCCTACGAAAGATACTAGAATTTCTTATTTTCTGAGAGTTTAATATCTCGAGAAGGAAACATTCTTTTCACCTGAAATTTTCAGGGTATTCTAACAATCAATAAAGCTCTCTATGGGCAAAATCGCAGGTCGAAATACTGTCATTCGATTTATTTATATACACCATTCCATAGGCTGAGATTTCAGTAAAATACCTATAACGCTGGACAGAAGACCCATGGGCCCTTATTCTTTTGGGGTTTTCCATATCACACTGGAATCTACTTTATGCACGGAACCCGAACTCTAAAGTGATCCGACAGTTGGGGATGTTCCCTCGTAAGTGTTATTTACCATATTGTAATATAGTTTTGTATGCTACTTATCATTTAAAGAGAAGACAGTGAACAAAATTTTAAGAAAAATTCTATCTTGTTTTCGTGAACTTAAGAAGCAAGGCAACATTAACTTCAACGAAGCTTGGTAGTCAGACATTTTTATTTTATACTTATTTGCATTGCATAATATCATATTTCAGAGGCATATGAAAGCGCTGAAGAAACGTTTTCATAAAAATATTAGAAGATGGAGTATACATGAGTAAGACTATGTTATATGAAGAACACTTTGTGAAAGAAAACTTACCGACTGTTGTGAAGATGTCTGATTTTATCCGTTTACAGTCATATAATGAACTGTTTTATATAACCTAATTTTTCATTCAATATTGCTATCCATTAATATGAAACTGAATTATATTTTAGATATTCAACATGATATTGTTTGGTTTTCGCAATATTTGGTTGTTTCTATTAATTTTTGGGCAAACATCAGGTAAGAACTCGATAAACTTCGTCTAGTTATCTTTCATCAAAAATAGATATATCTGGGCACATTATTATAATCTTTATAAGAACCTTCGACTTATTTTCTAACCGAGAAATGATCATATATAGAAATTAGCGTTTTCCTTGTATGTGATATACATATTCTCAGAGTTCTCTGTTGAGTTTCATTCGAAAGAATCTAGCTGACGGAATCACTAAGAGATCTACCCATAAAAATTCGGCAAACATCGCACTAAATCCACCAGTTAGATTCTAAGTGTCAGATTTTGAGTTTATGATCATTATTATTATCTGAATTCTATTTCATAGTTCTATGCTTTTTCACAGGTATTTCATACAATCGACCGAAACTTTGTGCAAATGCAACATGGGACCAGACGGCTATAACTTTTGCTACGAGCGCCACGATTGGCACGCATCCTTTAGGTTTGTTTGTCGATACAAACAACAGCATTTATGTCGCTGATCAAACGAATGGGAGGATTCAAGTATGGCTTAATGGAAGTACTACACTTACAGGCAATTACTCTGGTGGCTTATACTTACCTTATAGCGTCTTCGTTACGGACAATAGTGATGTTTATGTCGACAATGGCAACATAAATGGTCGGGTTGATAAATGGGGATGGAATTCAACAAGTAGTGTTCCAAGAATGTATGTGTGTGGACAATGTTACGGTCTTTTTGTTGATATCAATAATATGCTTTACTGCTTAATGACTACGTATCATCAAGTTGTCTCGAAGTCATTGGACACACGTTTAAATGTATGGAGTATTGTCGCTGGTACTGGTATAGCTGATTCAACATCGGTTACACTTAATTATCCATACGGAATTTTTGTTGATATTAACTTGGATTTGTATGTAGCTGATACTTCAAACAGTAGGATTCAAAAATTTGCATCAGGACAATTAAGTGGATTAACAATAGAAACAGGAGCTATTACATTGTATTATCCAATTTCAGTTATACTTGATGCTGATGGATATATCTTTATTAGTGATTGCTATAATAATCGTCTTGTTGGCTCAGGACCCAATGGATTTCGATGTATAGCGGCATGTTCTGGATCAGCTGGTGCATCATCCAGTCAATTATATTATCCAAATACCATACGTTTTGACAGTTATGGAAATATATTTGTCATGGATCAATTCAATGACAGGCTGCAAAAATTTATTTTCTTACCAAATTCATGTAGTAAGTTAAAACTAATTCTCTCATATGTAAAACGATTCGTCATTAGGAATATGTGATTATAGTTAGGAACACACAGGTGTAACGCTCCCTGCTCTAATTGCTTTGATATATTCCTGTGGAAGCGTCAGTTTCGTGTCTTAAAAAAATATGGTAGCTTTTTATAAAAAGAAATGAAAATATGACACGTTTAATTCTAGTTTAAACTCCAAATATCTAACACAAATTTATTTTATAATATAAAATCATATTTTTATTTATAGATCGAACGACAACAGTAACAACGATGGCCACGGGTATTTTCAAATAATTTTTTATTGACTGATTTTTTACAAATAGTTTATATTTGTTTTTAATAGTTACTTCAATGAATAATACTCAATCAGTTTCTGTAACAACAACTGTTCCTGGAATAAATTCTGCAACTGCACCATATTTAAACCGTATGTAATCATTTAATAAGATAGAAATTTTGTTTTTGAGTATTTCGATTATTTATAAAATAATTTCAAAAGAGTAATAGAAAATAAATAAACTTAGTCACTGATTACGTCTTTATAAAGAGAGAAAACGTTTTATTTTGAATTTTGCTTAAAATAGATTGAGGCTATAGGTGTAGATGTGTGTATCTTTGATGAATAGGAAATTAATGAATATATGTTTTTGTAGCTATTTCATACAATATACCGAAATTCACTGCGTATACTACTTGGAGCTCCAATGCAATAACTTTTGCAGACACTACCATGATCGGAATATATCCTTACGGTGTATTTGTTGATAATAACAATACGGTATATGTAAGTGAGTATTCTTTAAATAGTGTTCAAGCGTGGCCTGAAGGTAGTAGTAATCCCACAAGAACTATTTCCGGTAGTTTAAACCTTCCATATACTGTTTTCGTTACAAGTAATAGTGATGTTTATGTTGATAATGGTAATTCAAATAGTCAAGTCGATAAATGGACAGTAAATGCAACGACGGGTGTTTCAGTAATGAATGTGAAAGCCGCATGTTGTGGTCTTTTTATCGATATTGATAATAATATTTATTGTACACCACTTTATTATCATCAAGTTAATATGAAGTCATTGAATAGTAATTCAAATATATGGACAATCGCTGCTGGTACAGGTTGTGCTGGATCAACGTCAAATACGCTTTATGATCCTCGCGGAATCTTTGTCGATACAGATCTCAATTTGTACGTTGCTGATTTTACCAATAATAGGGTGCAAAAATTTCTATCAAAACAAGTAAATGGAATAACGATAGCCGGAACTGGAGGAACCGGAACTATTAGTCTCAATGGTCCTAATGGAGTTGTTTTGGACGCCGATGGCTACGTATTCATTGCAGAGTATTACAATAATCGTATTGTTGGATCGGGACCAAGCGGATTTCGTTGTTTAGTAGGATGTTCAACTGTTGCAGGTTCAGCATCTAATCAATTATATTATCCAACAAGTTTAAGTTTCGATAGTTACGGTAATATGTTTGTTGCTGATAATGTCAATCATCGGATTCAAAAATTTTCTATAACAAGCAATATTTATAGTAAGTAAAATAGAATCTTTTTTTTTATAAAATTTAGCAATTACGATAAAATCTAATCGAAAAGATTTATTTGAATTAGCTAATTTTAGTCTCTTTTTTTATGTAAGACACAGTAGTGAAATTGATTTTGATTGTATTAAACTATTAAATTCTCTTAAGATCTTTATAAGATCGAACAGAAGGTTAATATTTTTTGTATTAGACAATATTTAACTTGATCAGCATGTTTGTAGAATAACATCAATGGTTTTCAATTTTGTTTTTATTTTTAGGTACAACTATCAATCAACCAAGCTTCTGTCCATCTACAACTTGGTATACAAATGCAATTACATTTGCTGATAGTAGTACGGTTGGAACTTACGTAACTGGTATTTTTGTTGGTATTGATAATACTGTTTATGTAGCGAATGCACAAACTAATCAGGTTGTAATATGGTTCGAAGGAAGTATTAATCCAGATGAAATTCTTTCTGGTAGTCTGAGTTCACCGTTTGATCTTTTTGCTACTCCTTTAGGTGATATATATGTTGATAATGGTGCTAATAATGGCCGAGTTGATAAATTCTCATTAAACTCAAATATAAGTACTTCTGCGATGTCAGTTCCTTCTACATGTTATGCTATTTTTGTTGATATTAGTAATACTCTTTATTGTTCAGCCTTTAGTTCTCATCAAGTTGTTAAGAAATGGTTGAATGATAATGTACTTACATCAACTATTGTTGCTGGTACAGGTACAGCCGGATCAACAGCAACTACGCTTTATTACCCTTATGGAATTTTTGTCGATGCTGTAATTAACTTATATGTTGCAGATTCCTATAACAGTAGAATACAAATGTTTCCCGTTGGACAATTAACTGGAATAACTTTAGCAGGAGATAGTGCACCGGGAACTATTACACTTAATAGTCCAAATGGTATTATATTAGATGGTAATGGATATCTTTTTATTGCGGATACTTATAATCAACGAATAGTTGGATCAGGACCATATGGTTTTCGATGTTTATTTGGATGTACAACAGTAGCTGGTTCTTTACCAAGTCAATTGTATTATCCAGCAATTTTAAGATTTGATAGCTATGGAAATCTATTTGTTGCTGATAGATATAATGACAGAGTCCAAAAGTTTATATTAGCATCGAATTCATGTAGTACGTTATATTTAATTTATTTTTTTTGATTATATAAATTTATTTATTTTAGGTCTTTCTTATAATCAACCAACATTTTGTTATAATGCTTTATGGTATTCTAATGCATCAACGTTTGCATCAAGTAGTACAATTGGTACTTCACCTTATGGTATTTTTATTAATGGAATTAATACTGTATATGTACCTAATCGAGTTAGTAACACTATTGTATCATGGCCTCAATGGAGTACTACACCAACAAGTAATAGTTATAGTAATTTGAATAATCCATATAGTCTTTTTATGTCTATGGCTGGTGATATTTATATTGATAATGGTTATTCATATGGTCGAGTTGATAAATATATATTTAATACATCAAATCATGTTACTGTTATGAATGTTAATGGAAGTTGTTATGGTTTATTTATTGATGCGAATAATAATCTTTATTGTTCACTTAAAAATCTTCATCAAGTTGTTAAACTCTTAGTTAATAATGGTACAACCATTCCTACAATAGCAGCTGGGAATGGTTCTGCCGGATCACTATCAAATATGCTTAATTCTCCTCAAGGAATCTATGTTGATAGTAATTTAAACTTATATATTGCAGACTGTGCGAACAATCGTATTCAATTCGTTCAAATTAGTCAATTAAATGGAGTGACAATCGTTGGTAATGGATCATCAACAAATTTTATACTCAACTATCCAACTGGAATTGTCCTTGATGCTAATGGTTATCTTTTTATTGTCGATAGTTATAATCATCGTATTGTTGCTTCAAGTTATTATGGTTTTCGATGTATAGTGGGATGTTCAGGAGGTGGTTCAACTGCATCTCAATTATCTTTTCCACAAAGTATGGCTTTTGATAGCTATGGCAATATATATGTTACTGATCGAAATAATAGTCGAGTGCAACAATTCACTCTTCAAACTAACAATTGCAGTAAGTTATTTGTAAATAATGCAACATTATGAAATTGTAGTTGATAATTAGTTTTTGCGACTATCATTTGAAAAATTGACAAAAATCAGATGATATGAATTATCTAATCTCATATTAATGTTTTTAGTATAACTTCCCTCTAATTTAACTGAATAAAGTATAACTGTTTTATATTTCAGCAATACCGACTACCACCACCACTACTACTACGAGCAGCAC